AACAATTGCATTTGTGAACACATCTACTTGACAAAACCACAGTAATCATTTACAGATTTATTCTGAATTCTTCAAGAATGGCATGTTCATGGAGAAGTATGCAATATGGGATGATATGTTACAAGACTTATTGTTTATGTTCACGTAGATGGTGGAGAAGTGAGAAAATGCTTTGTTTTACACTATTGCTAGAACATATTGGTGATCTGAGTTTTGTATAGCACAACAATGCAGATTTTTGTGTTCAACAATTCATAGCACATACGGTTGTGATATACCGCAACTATATAAGTGAAAAACATGTATTTTATCTACTTTTCAAATGTTTTTGCTGTTGGTAAGATTTTTTTTTTCCCTCTTTTGCTCACCAAGGCAGCATTTATTTGAATAAAAACAGTAATTATTGTGAAATAATACTCCAATATAAAATAACTGATTTCTTTTTTCAGAAGCACTTTTTATCTATTAATGCTTTGAACAATCATTCAAAGTTCAAACTCACCTGCACGAGTTCTCAGAAACTCCATAATGCTCAATATTTTAGTTTCCAGCACCTTATACTAAATTCTTTTTGATGCTGAGGCCAAAAAATAAATAAATACATGACTCATCAGGGAATATTCAATATCTTTTAAATATTCACCTATGTTCTCTGAACTATAATTCCTTCTGTTCTCATTCACTTTAACTTTGTGTTCTTTGTGGCAATGTGGGTCGCTCTCTGTTTCCCAAGAGGAATGACAGAGTGACATCCAGCTCATCTCCAGAGCTTTAGGGAGTGTTTATACACGCGGTGTTTGCCACGGCTCTGTTTGTCATGCAGTTAATCTTTGACATTGAAAAGATTGAGGACTGCAGGACTCTAACCTTCCCACCCGATATACTTTAGACCCCTTGAAGGGGGCGGGCTTTCCTGAAAAACCCTTAAATTATGACATGGATGCTCACACGTATACCCTCTTGTATCCTGCTTGTTGCGCTGACATAGAACTTCCTCTATGGCGTTATTGTGGTAGCATCTCAAAGAGGCTGACCTCGGTTTTGCAGTGTCGAAATATAGATATCATTAGTGCCTCTGAGACCCAAGGGAGGGAAATTTTTGCTATCACTCCCATGCCATCCATCACAATGACTGTGGGTTCTTCAAAAAAAAAATGTGCACGATTAACAAAACAACCTTCTTTAAACCCCATGGATGGTTGAGGTTAGAGGGAGCAAAACTCCAATGAGTTTGAACACTCATTCATTTTTCACAGTTTTCACAAGAGCATAAATAGCAACTACATAAATAAACATGCCTTTAGCGTATCATAACAATTGTTCCCTCGGAAAAATAAGGGTTTCAAAAAGTTTTTTTTTCTTCTTCACAGCATTGCTATAGAACAGGGGTTTCTGGTCTTTTAGACCACGGACTCCCGAATATGATCAACATCATGTGAGGGATATATTTTCATATATATATATATATATATATATATATATATATATATATATATATATATATATAAATGTATACTATAAACGTCTAAATTTGGAAAATATTTAGTTTCTGTCTATGACATTTACTTTTTTATATACTTACTAAAGGACTGTACTGTGATCCATTTATTTATTTAAATCAATGTTTTTATTTATCAAATTACCGGGTCCCTAAAGAAAGGGACATGGTGGTGGAACAAAAATACATTTAAAAACTTTTGCGTTCCCCTGACAAACTTAGCATTCGCTCACAAAACATGCGTGTTCCCTTGAAAAACTTTGCATTCGCTGGCAAAACGTTTCCGTTCCCCTGAGAAACTTTGCGTTCGCTCGCAAAACGTTTGCGTTACCCTGAGAAACTTTGCGTTCGCTCGCAAAACGTTTGCGTTACCCTGAGAAACTTTGCGTTCGCTCGCAAAACGTTTGCGTTCCCGTGAGAAACTGCAGTATGTGTTTGCCTGCAAAACATTGTTTTCTCGGGTAAACAAACATTTTTACGAGAGTACAAAAGCATTAACATATAATTTCCCTCCCATCTCATATTTCTGTCTCTTAAGGGGCTCCTTATCAAAATTTGTATTATTTTAATAATTTTATTTATTTATCTAATTTCAATCAAAAGCATTAGCTAAATAATACATTTTCATAATGTTTTTCTCTACATTTTTCACCAACCTCTTAGCACTCTCTTCCCCCCTGGGCATTTGAAAACCTCTGCAATAGATAGAAGAACCATTTTTGGTTCCTAAAATAACCTTTTAGTGAACAGTTCTAAAAATAACCCTTTTTTGTCTTAGTGTGAAGAACCTTTTTCCACTTTATGGAACCTTTGATGCCTAATAAGAGCCTTTATTTTTAAGAGTGTTGGATGAAGGTTTTGAGTGAGAAGCCCTCATGGGAGAACAGTTTGCATTAGAAGATGCTGAACCATCATGTTACACATCTAGAAACATCCACAAAGCCACATCCACTATTTTTGCTAGCATATCTTCGTTTATCCATCAGTTATGTTATTAGATGTTAGCTATCTGCTTGTAGCCAGGCTGTGTTTACAGATTTAAGCAGGAAACGGGACTCTTGGTTTAGACGGCCTTGCGCAGGGACAGTTTGGGGGGGTTTGGACTAAAGTCCAGAGGTGCTTGTAATGTTTTGAATGTAGGTGACAGACAGACTGACGTAAGGCTGGTTAACGTAACTATCTCAATGGTATGTGCATAGATAACACAATTGAAGCTGTCTAATAATTAAAAACAGTGTATATTGATCAAATGGCAACTTCTCTTTGACTTCTGTCAGTGGTGTTGACTTCTGTGTAGCAGCTCACAGACAGAATGTCTAAATGACTGCTTAACAAATGCCAACATTTCAAACATTCTTTTGTTTGAAAAGTAGTCTGTAGGATTTAGAATGTTGGGAAACAGAACTGTCATGTTCACGCTGACCCAACAAACCCAAGAACTAAAGATAATGATGTTTGTTGTGTGAGAGTGAACTAGACAGAAAAAAAACCCCAGTTACTTAGCAAAGGAAGTTGGAAAGGTATAAAAAGACATTTAATTGGCCACAAATTACAGTAAAGCCTTTTACATTGCTACATAATGTTTCTATTTCAAATAAACACTGTTCTTCAAAGAATCATGAAAAATATTGGTCACGGTTTTCACAAAAATATTAAGCAGCACAGCAGTTTTTACCATTGATAATAATCAGAATTGTTTCTTGAGTCGCAAATCAGCATACGAGAATGATTTCTGAAGACTGGAGTAACGATGCTGAAAATTCAGCTTTTGCATCGCAGGAATAAATGCCTTTTTAAAATATATTTTTAAATAGAAAAAGAGTTCTTTTAAACTGTAATTATAGTTTACAATATATGTATTTTTGATCAAATAAATATCACCTTAGTGAGCATACGACATTTTTATAAGATCTTAATACTTCAAGCATTTGACGACATAAAAAATAATAAATGTGAATATATTAACTAATCAAAATTAAATCAAATAATCCGTTTTTTAATTCTTGTGAAGAAATCATGCACTACATGTACTAAAAATTATGCATTATTACTAAACTTATTAACTAAACCAAACCATAACTATATAGTAAGAACATGTAGTTAATTAATATTACTCACTTATTTAAGTAAGTACAATATAACTACTAAAGTGTAACCAGACATTCCCATGCAGGTATTGATATTTTAAGCATTTAACAATGGTACAGTTTCTAGAGAAAACAGATTTTGTGTACTCACCAGTGCTGATGTTGCGTGTGCTGGATCTCAGCTTGATGTGCCTCTTGCATTTGTGATGTTGACAGCAGTTCAGCCCCTGATGTCCAACACTTGCCAAGCACACACTGGAACACACACATGCGCAAAACAAACAGCGCGTCCCTCCAACGCAAACCATTAATTCAAACACACCAATATGTAAAGACGGGGGAACACAAAGTCGACAATACACACAAAAAAGGACAATTTAACACTGTCCTGCCACCGTGATGAGGGCTACGAGAGCTTTGAAGATCAACCTCACTGTCAGTGTAAAAGTTAGGAATGGAGATCTAAAAGTTAGAACAAAATCTGAGAGGGCCGTGGTGGGAGCGAGGAGCTGTTTAAGTGAAATAATGAGTGATTTCTGTACATGCACAACGTGAAACAGTGGGCTCATTAGAACATTCCCAGCAGCCCAGTGTTTATAAACAGCCCTAGTTCATCTAACTGATGGATGAGCGCTCACTATCTCCGTTCTTCCTGCAGCTCAGAGAACGTACTTGATCAGCCCGGGTTTCACAACCACCCTGACTAACTCCCACGTGTCACTAAACAATTCAGCTGGACACAGGCAACTCAAGATCCCCTTATCTGTCTCTCTCTCTCACACACACACACAGAGAGAGAGAGACCCCAAACTCTCTTCTGCTCCATGGGTGGGCCCTTTATGTCCTTAACTGGGGGCAGAGGGGACATTCTGCGGGTTGCAGATCCATCCCTAATGCTCTTAACTCACAGGATACTAATGACAGCGACTGTTGTAATGAGGAAAAACAACATAGATGTGTTTTTCCAGGAACAACAGGGCTGCTGATATGAACCATGGGGTAGAATGAGGAGCCAAGGTTCTTCCTGAAATGAAACAAATGTGTCAGATATTCAAGTTTTGGAAACTAGTGAGCTGAGTACATAGGCAGTATTTTAAGGAAGCATCAGCACAAAAGCAACGCAAAGGTTGTTCCAGTGATGCGGAACTCACATTCAGCTCTGTCTGCATTTCATTATTGCTTTATTATACTGTGCAAACTCTATATTCTATATTCTATTCACCACAAAATCTTTCTGCTCTTTCACATTTTCAAAAAAACATTTAGTATGATTTATAAGCTATTTTCAACTTCCCCACATGGATTTTGGATCCGGATTTGCCGTTTTTTTGTGTGGACTTTTGTCCCCATAACATAAAGCTTACCTGAACACCACACACACACACACACACAAATAAAGAAACAATTCAAGCTAGTTTGGCCTCAGAAATACATAAATCTTTAGTGAATGTTGTACTGTGATAGAGAACAACAACAAAATTGACAAATTCAAACAATCCTTAAAAATAAGAACTTCAATAAAAGAAGTTACCAAGTGACTGAAAGGTGCAGTGCAAAATCAAATCAAAGGCAACAGTATAAAGATTAAAAAACATCTTTACGATAGCAAAACATTTCTATAATAATTACATGAAAACAGCTATTACAGTACAGATTGACGGCAGCTCATTGCCACAGTTCTTTCTCAGTAAACTGCAAGAGCTGCCAAACGCAACGGTTAATCTACTGTACAAAAGAAAATGTACATGATTGCATGCATTGGTAAAAAGTCTGTCAGCTGTGGCTGTGGAAATGCTCAAAAAACATCTCCAGCATTTCATCCAATCACAGCAGGAATGTGAATAGTTCAGTTTTGGAGGAGTGCTGCAGTCTCTTCATCTCCATCTGCAGAAACACGAGGAGGAGCTTTTCTGTACATCACAAACTGCACGGATATCTGAAGAAAAGCGTTAAGGCAAAAGCTGAACATTTTTCAAACGATATTGAATTCATTTGAAGGGGTCATCGGATGCCCATTTTTCACAAGGTGGTATGATTCTTTAGGGTCTTCCTGTAAAGTTTGTAACATACTTTGATTAAAAATACTCAATGGTTGTGTAAAACAACAGCCTTATTACCTCCTCAAAAACAGCTCTGTTCACAGCGACCCGTTTCAGTGCATGTCTCTTTAAATGATAATGAGCAACTGCTAACCCCACCCCTCTCTTCCGTGGGGCGTGTCAACACAAGACATGTACAACCTGCTTGCTGGACAGTATCCACCTTATTCTGCGCCCGTTCTATTTCCCATGATTCACTGCGGTTTCAACTGTCTAAACGGTTTTCCATTTCCGGTTGAAGTATTTGTTTATGCTAGCACTCTAGTCCAGACCACTGATCTATATACAATATTATATAGATTGGTGGTCCAGACATTAGAAAAATATCAGTCTACACATGCTATATTCACGGACATGACCGTTATGAAAGCGACTTTAAACTTTCACAGAGATTTTAAAGAGAAACCACAAAGAAACCTTTCTTTAAAGTGAATTATTTGTGGTTTTTTTAATTAATTTAATCTTAAATAAATCAATGTTTCATCAACCAATTGACTGGTTTTAATAAATAAGAAGTATTATAAACAATAGATGATCATGACGGAGGCGACAGCGCACAAACCGGACTTTGGTCTCATGAATGAAACTTATGAAGAAAAGAAAAACGTTCATTTTTGTTTTTATCTGTGATTTAATAAAAAATAACGTGATCAGATCACATTTGATGAATGATTTTTCGATTTAGTTTACCGATGAGGGGATGACACAAATCTAAAACACATAGCAAAAAAGCATAGACCAGACTAGAACCGGAAGTTGACAACCGGCGTCGTTGTCATGGCGGCGCGCTTTGTTTAGAGCAGAATAAGGTGGATACAAATGGCTGAGAGCGGAAATATGCTAATACAGGACAGTCCGTCAGTGTTCGTGGGCGGAGCATGAGCAAGATGACATCATATTGCTCAGAAAATCCAAACGGCTTTTGAAGATAAAAAAGGACTGAATGGATTTTTCCATTGAATGGTGGTCGTGTCCACACACTGCAAAAACCATATAAAAGTGAATTTTGCATCTTTGACCCCTTTAACCAACAAGGCTCAGTGCTCAGGGGATTCTGACAAAAGTGCTTCACATGAAAGGAAGTCACGTGACTTCAGAAATATAGTTGGATGCTTTGGCAACAATCAGAGTTTTGTCAATATACGTGACCTCAAGTGATCCAGAATGTCAAACACACGATGAGTCAGACATTTATGCAATGTTGTCTATAATATCAGTCACGTGACCTATGACTGGTTGTTCTCAAAACAAACTTTAGCCAATTAATCAATTCATGCATTTTACCCAACACAGTTAAACCTGATGCACTGCATAAAACATGAATCCATTGTTCAAACATTAAAATAAAACATTTCTATATTTAAATAAGCTATTCAAATATATATTAAAAAAATACTAAAATAAACGCTGCTTTAAGAGCATTATGATTTTTTTTTCATATGGGATTTTACTCGTAAAAATACTCCATGAGGACTGTGATCAATGATCCTCTCCCAGCTCAGTGGCTTAAAAGGATACGAGAAGGTCCAGTGAGAGCGTTCCCAGGCTGCCGATGAGCCAGGGGAGGTGGTGCAGGAGGTAGCTGGTCTCTCCCTGCCCAGGATCTGGATTCTTCAGTATCACACTGATGCCATATGTTGTGTTTCCCAGAATTACCAGAGCAAACAGGAAATAAGATACGCCCTCTGTTGACTTCCTTAGATACTGCAAGACAGAAATATACATTCGCATTACACTAAGGCTACAGTTCAGACTCCAAGTAAATGTAGCCGAAATCTGATGTGAATCAGATCTGTTTTTCTCATGACAGTGTGAACAGCACAAACCACATGGAATCTGATTTCGATTCCGATGTGGGCCAATTCCATATGTGGTTCTAAATCCAATACAGATAAGATGTTTTGCAATGCGACCTCAATCTAAACAGTCATTTCAGAATTCAAGGGACTTTTACATCACTCTAGCTTCTACAACAACCATCAAATCTAAAACCAATGGGAGCACAGAACCTGATGACGCAATTAGTGAGACGACAACAAACCACCAGTTGCTATTTTTCTTGGCAAGATAAGCCATGGTCCAAATTAAATATAGAATAACTTATTATTTACATAATACAACAGAAAATTCTGTGTACCATGAAAGTTTTGTGAAAATGATACAACTATGCTCTTGCTGCCTGGCAACTTCAAAAAACACTGGCATCAAAAGTGTAATTTGATATATGCTTTTAATACAGCTACAATTAATATTCACACATTTTCATACTACATATGCATTCAGATCTTTCAATAAATACAGATGTTGCTTCTTAGACTACATTCACACTGCGAGCCTTCAAATCCGATTTATTGCTCTGATCAGATTTTTTTTCTTCTTATAGCTGTTCATGTTGTGGTTTTAAATGTGGCCAATATCAGATTCCAGTGTGAACAGATCATGGTCCTGAACTGACCAGCATGCTCAAAAGAACGATAAAAAGACTTCAAACAGCACGCTGACATACGGAAGTAAACACGAAGAACATAAAGTAAACGAGTACACGCTTATAGTGTGATCTGCCGCAGAAGTTAGAGAATTTATGCACAGCCAATGTGAAAAAACAATGAGAAGAATGTGAAAAGAAAAAAATTCTTTCCAAAAAAGATCCAGATTGCTGGATTTGTCACTGTAATTCTTTCTACTGACACCTTTCACAACGGTCTTGATAACTTTTGTGACTCCTGTGAACAGGATTGTGATGTATGTTGCAACAGAAGACTACCTCAAATTAATTTTAATTTTTAAATCCCAATCAATATTTGGCTGTCGGTAAACATGTCAAACTAGCGATCAAAGTCTTCCGATTTTTGCCAAGGATCAGAGGAATCTTAGGATTCGTAAAATGTCTCTGCCAAATCTTGGCCAAAATCATTCAGGGCACACCCGGATTTAATAGTCCTTTATAATAGTCCTAAAAAAAAACTAGACTAGAAGAAAACTAGAAATCAATTCAAATGTCTTTCTTTTAATTATGGGGTAAAATATGATCTGGACATGTTCATGAATCAACATCAATGTAAAACTTACATTAGTGTACATCTGTGGCAATCTGGAGCATAAATAGAGTACTGACGATAAAGAGCCGATGATAAAGCCTATAATCTCCTTTGTTGAGAAGGGCTGAAAAACAAGAAAACATTAAGTCCCAAACCAATGCTGAAACCACATAAATGCAATTCAACTCAATGATAAAAGCAACTCTAGGTACCTTTACCGAACCGCTGTCCCCCTCCACGGCCAGCAGTGCCCGACCCCTGAACCCTGCGGGAATCTGATCCTCTAGGGCAGAGCGAGGGAGGCTAAGGAGGGAAGATGTAATTCCCAGAAGACACAGCATACTGACAGCATTTAGCAATGCACTGTTACCGTCTACAGAGGAGAAAGACAGTTCCACGAGGCATCAGCACAATCTTATAACAGACTGTGAAGGCCGAGGGCCAGGGAGGAATATACAGAAGAGACATTCTCGAGCAGTGTTACTGTTAACTTAAGCTATTAGAAATCAGTTCTGGGAACTGAAATGAAGCTGAAATAAAATAAAAATACAAATATTACATTAAAAATGAATGAAAGCAAGGCATGTCCTTGAACGCAACTAATTACATATAGCCTACTCAACACATTCAACCAACAGTCTCAAGAAAGGCATGATTTACAACTCACCCCTAGATGCTTTATTCTTTATTTTATAATACATGTACATGAACAGCATTAGCAAGTCTGCCAGGACGTAGTACACTGCAGTGTATTTCTAAAGGAGAAACAAGGGGTTGAGGAATATCAAATAATAATAATATAACCAGGCTTTACTTTCAACTACAGCTAAAATCATTAATCAATTAGGGTAATTTTCTTGAATCTACATGTTAATTAATTTAGCTGAGATTTTATAAAAAACAACAAATGAAAAATGTTGCTTACCTGTAGTGGAAGTTGATCGGCTAAGAACGATCCAATAAGATTACACGAGTCACCTGCCAGCCATAATAACAGAAACCAAACAGACAGAGCGCTGTCCATATTCCCTGTCTTGCAGGAATTGTAGTATTGCCTACAGTAACAGACAGTATGATCTCAATATATATTATCATGTACAAAATGTCACTATATACTACCGTTCAAAGGTTTGGTGTCTGTAAGAATTTTTGGTTTGTTTGTAAATTAGTCTCTTATACTCACCAAGGCTACATTTATTTGCCACAAAAATACAATAAAAAGTCATTTTGTGAAGTATCATTACAGTTTAAAAACCGTTTTCTGTTTGAGTTCAAATGTAATTTATTCCTGTGATGATAAAACTGAATGTTCAGCATCATTACTCCAGTCTTGAGTGTCACATGATCCTTCAAAAATCAATCTAATGTCCTAATTTGCTGCTCAAGAAAGATTTCTTATTATTATGAATGTTGCAAACAGTTGTGCTGCTTAATTTTTTTGTGGAAACCATGATCTTTTTACTAGGATTCTTTGAAGATTAGAAAGATCAGCATTTATACTAAATAGAAATTGTCAGTTTTGATTAATTCAAAAGAATCCTTGCTGAATAAAAGTATTAATTTCATTAAAATCTTACTGACACCAACCTTTTGAATAGCAGTGTATGAGTGTTCAAAATTAGTTAGAGTAGTTCACTTTAAAAAAAACTTTTGCTGATAACTCACCCCCATGTCATCCAAGATGTCCATGTCTTTCTTTCTTCAGTTGGAAAGAAATTAAGGTTTTTGATGAAAACATTCCAGGATTTTTCTCCATATAATGGACTTCAGTGGAAACCAAACGGTTCAAGGTCCAAATGAGTCCCAATGAGCTTCAAAGGGCTTTAAACGACACCAGACGATGAATAAGGGTCTTATCTAGGAGCCTTCGAGTCATGACTCGAAAAAAAAATTTGTTCATTTTGATGAACGAGTTTGAACAGGAGAGTCACGAACGCTCATCACAGAACACAGCAAGGCGAGCATTTGTACATATAAAACGTAAACTTTTATATTTATTTTTTAAATGCCCGATTATTTTACTAGATAAAACCCTTATTCATCGTCTGGTGTCGTTTAAAGCTGCACTGAAACTCTCATTTGGACCTTGAACTGTTTGGTTCCCATTGAAGTCCATTATATGGAGAAAATCCTGGAATGTTTACATCAAAAACCTTAATTTCTTTTCGACTGAAGAAAGAAAGACATGGACATCTTGGATGATCATGGGGGTGAGTAAATTATCAGCAAAAGTTTTTAAAAAAAGTGAACTACTCCTTTAACATTAACATTCTAATATGGCAAAACTGCTCATACACAGAGCAATCCTCTTCTTATAAGAATTGGCGTACTTACGGTAGTGAGGACACCATGAAGCAAACTATTGACAGCAGTCCCAGAACTACACTGGCAACGTCCCTGGCATCCTGGGCACATTCCCCAAGTCCATACCAAATCCACTCGATCCCATGTGGGCAGAGAGAGCTGAAGTTTCCATTACCACCGAGTACAAGCCCGTCCGACATCACTTGAAAAACAGCAAAATAACACAAAAATAATGTTCTTCTGTTTTAATAAGAATACCGCCTGGACTGTTTTGAAACATTCTTGTGAAAACGGATGTGTTGATACTTCAAACGTAACAGGGAGTGCAGTGCTGTTAAAACTCTTATAGCTCGAGTCAAGAGAAGACATTACAAATACATTTGGCGCATTACCTTACCTGTGGTGTAGATCTTCAGCTGTTGAGGTAACGTTAGAAGTTTGTGGTCCTTATGCCGCACCGCAGTCACCTAGAGAAGAAAACAACGAAACATGCCCTGTGATTGGATGGTTGAAGCGCGACGTCATGCAGTAAAGCAGCGCCAACATGGACGTTGGACAAAAGACTTTCTTTTCTAGACTATAAGGACTATATTTAGACTAAAAGACTATATTTTCTTTAAAATACTTCGGTTAAAAGAACTATTCAGCTTTATTTTGCGTCGTGACCTGATCTATGTTATCGTGACGTAAATGAGTCACGTGTTTCTTAGCCTTTTATTTATCACACTTCCGTGTTCTGTACTCTGGCATTACATTATTATACAATAATAATTGTTCTAAAAAATAGCACCATCTTGCTTGATTTTTTATTTTATTTTATTTTTTGATTTTTATAATATATATAAGTGCTGCTTCTATATGCTTTGATAAAAATGTCATGTAAACATTGGTATGATTTCTACTGCTGAAGGTAACCGAAGAACCGCGGCTCGAATGATTCAGATTCGTGAATGAATCGTTCAGATGATTGGTTTTGTGAACTGGTTCATACGACTAATCTGTTCAAAATGTGCAGCACTTCAGTGTGCAAGTCGTAGCTTGTCATTTTCGCAATCACCAATTAAAGAAAGAAACCAAAGTCTTACTATGATGCTAAAAAACAACACCAAAAATCTAATCTAATAAACAATAAATGTATTAGGCTACTGATGGTTAACTTTTGTAACAAATATGTATGTTAATTTTCTCTCTGAATTTGCTTTGGTCGGGGAGTGTCAAGAAAGAGGCACTACATCATGATGATCAACATGTTTCACATTTTCACAAAACGGTGTGAAATTAATTGTTTTTTGTAGCAGTACACTGTTGATTAACTGTGCGTCCAGAGCTTCGAGACGCATGTAAATTAACATTTCTAACTAAAATAAGTTACGTGTGTTTAAAGAAAAAGTACAGATGTTCTAAAACAAAAAAAAAACAGATTAAATGTTTTCTTTACCTTGTCAAAGTAGATCCGTCACCTCCAGACAGAGTTCCGCTCATATCAGCTGATCATCTCGCCTGACTTCACAATAGCCCATTCAGCAAAACGTGACGCAAAAACAACCAAAACGATTTCTTAAGAGTAAAAACCCTACAATAATGGCGTTATGTCTGTTTACAAGAGTCTATAGGTCGCCGAATGTATATAACGAAGAGTTGATCATTTCTAGTTGTCACCATTTTTGCTCCGAGTATTTCTCATGATAGGTTCGTTTTTTTAAGCCATCATCTGTGTAGAAATAACTTGACTTTAAGCTATACTTTATAATTTAAAAGTGGTTTATTAACTGCGTTAATTTATTCCAATTTATTCCAAAAAACTCATTTAAAATTTAAGACTAATGTATGGAAGCTTCCTCCACAGATTGAAAAATAAAAAAGGTAATTGCGACTTTTTATCTCGCAATTCTGACTTTATTTCTTAGAATTGCGAGATATAAAGTCACAATTAAATGTTTTATTTTAGAAGATAAAAAGTCAGAATTGTGAGATTTAAACTATTTTAGTTTATATCTCACAATTCTGAGAAAAGATGTCAGAATTTTGACATAAACTTGTGTTATAAAGTCAGAATTGCGAGATGTAAACTCGCAATTGTGAGAAAAAGTCAGAACTGTGAGATAAAAAGTTGCACTTCTGTCTTTTTCTCTCAGAATTGTGACTTTGTATCACGCAATTCTGACTTCACATCTCGCAATTCTGACTTTATATATCGCAATTGCGACTTTATATCTCGCAATTCTGACTACATATCTCACAGAGATAAAAAGTCGCAATTGTTTTTTTATTTTTTTTTATTCAGTGGCGGAAACAAGCTTCCATAGTAACCCTTATAAATGTAACACTGGCATTACTGTAGTTTATGCATTATTGGAATAAAAAGCAATGCTTGTTGAAAGTACTTTTGTACTTGGTTTTGCCAGGTGCCACTGAGACCCATTTACTGTTTTATAGCTTTTGAAGGGTCTACGATTAAACTTTAAAACAATACAGAGGTCACCATTTTATTGAAAATAAAGATCAAATGTTCTCCTATTGAGGGGATTTAAACTGTAGGAATAAGAAAATACACATGCAAAGGAAGCAGGTGGACCATATATGATAAACTTTATCATACAATGGGAGGGAGAGATGAGTGTATCATTTATAAAGTATCATTCACAATAGATTTACAAATATAATAATGATAAGTCATAGTTTAGAAAAAAAAAAGAATGTTATATACTAAATCAGACCAAAACAAGACTATTTAAATCTGTACAAGTGTCTTCATAGACACTCAACGATTCATTCTTCGTCCTCCGAAGACAATGCAAGTTTGAAAGTTCTCACGCAGTATGTACAATGGATCGTCGGGGTGGGGGGAAACATGAAATAAATGAAGCATCTGAATCGCATCAGTTCCAGCATTATCCCACCCTTCAGAGAGCAGAATAAGACTGTGCTTGAGAGGAAGACAGTTTATTTCTTGCAGACGTTTCCTCAGTTTCTTCACTTGATGTGCATCAGCTTCTCAGCATCCACTTTTAAACGTTTGCGTTTTGGTTGTACCACGTCCTCGTCAGAGTCCTCCGAATCCTCTTTATCAGCCTCGGGTCGCGTCTCCGCCTTCTCCGCAACTACTGGGAACGTCTGGTCAGGAAAAATCTCCAGCAGTTTTTCCTCGAAGCGCTGACTCACAGCTTTGCCCGCCTCTGCCACTTCCGAGTCGGCCTAGGAGAGGGAGGAGAAGGGAAAGAGTGTGGAAATGTGAGGGGAGGAGAAAGTGGGTGGAATGAACAGGTGAGGAGGAGGAGAAGAGAATCACAGAAAGGGTTAAAACTCCAGTTTCGGCTGCTTTGGGTGTCAGCACTGCTGAACCCTTCGGTGTGGTGTACAAAACATCTTACCTGAACATTACTCTGTTTCTCCTCATCATAAACCTGGATTATTCGAGACATCTAAAAAGGGCAACGACAGCACACACAAAAAAAAAAAAAAAAATACAAAAGAAAGGGGGGGAAGAAAGATTTTATACCATACACACAGTGAGGTCACAACCTCATCTGTATTTAAAACGTCCAAGGAGCACAATTTTTGGTTTGGTTATAATAAATGCCTTTCGGTTATAAGGCATAAGCAAACAGCCTCTATATATAAACACATGAAAGAAAAAAAAAACTAGGGGGGATTTGTCTTAAATACTGTTTAAAAAAAAGACAGAAAAAAAATGTCAGTTATGCTGACAGACTCAACTAAATGCAACATAAATTGGAGGGGGGAAATTACAGAAAATTCTAAAATCGTTAATAATAACGTGCTTCTTTAACATGAATGCCACAGTCATCAAGTCTTGTGAAGACCGTAAAATGTCTCCCTCATTTTGCAGTTTATTTTTAGACAGAAATAAACATTTCAGTAACCTCATTGAATTATCACAATGACAGTGTGAAAGTGCAACAGTTTTTATCATGGGTGTCTTGGAGGGTTCGACTAGATAAAGTCAACAAACAAAACACCCTATTTATCCACTTCAAGCATTCTGAGGCCACTGTGATGAACCCAAACACTCAAACAGATCAAATCTATCCACTGAAATCACCTAAAGTTGGTGAAACAGAAGCCAAACAAGCTTTATAAAATGTTTTTGTGTAATAATTACATCTTTCATTTTATTAACGTATAACCACTAGAATAAAAATGAACAGTGTGACTGAGTTTTGCTTTTAATAACACAAACCTCATCAGGCAGAAACATTCAAAACATCAACTAAGTGCTAAAAATAACATCTAAAACTACTTTCTAAGGGAAATAAAACTAAATCAAATCGGTTGTATACATAATCTGCTTTTATCCGCATTTTATTTTACAGAATGTCAGAAGGCATGAACGACTGCAAAACTGACATTAGCATCATGCATTTGATTGTCATTTTCATTCTTATTGTTCAAAAAGTGCTGAACAATAAACAAATGTCTCAAACATCCCTTTAACGGAGTGAAAAAGTGCGTCAGCCCTTTGACACACTAGTGCAACATCCACAAAGAAAAAGAGCGCCGCTCATTAATGCTGAGCTCGACTGAAACCATTCCTTTAATTGTTAGTACTGGCATGGTGAACATACGAGGAAGCAAAAGCATGCAACCCATCACGTTCATGCTGTGTTGCTTCAGTGTGTTTCATACTCTCCAAATACTCGTTTCTTACATGCAACATCCCATCACACCCCCCACACAGGTTAAGGACATTCCCCGTACTCACCTCATTAAATTTGGCACAATTGCTAAAGACCAGGCGCACGTCGGACACAAACTCTGAAGGGCTCTTGTAATGCAGAGGATGTTTTCGCTGCAGTTTCCGCTTTACCAGGGTCAAATCCATTGGATTCTTTATTATTTTATAGTAATTGGGTACCTGGAGAGAAATCAAGGCTTCAGCATTAAAACAATAATGTTGGAGACATGCGGCTCTCTTCTAACACCAAATAATCTACCCATCGACATTTTTAGGTATATATATATAAATAAATATTTTTTTCTGAACACAGGTGTAATTTGTAGGTGGGACATGTCGATTGTGTCCCCTCCATTTTTTAAACATCTCGCGGCATATAGGACGGGTCGCAGGAATGGTGGTGTTTCATTAGTAATATCATTATTAGTGTTTATATATATATATATATATATATATATAATTGCTAACACTTGCAAAAGAGAAGATTTGACACATGGCACTGACAACTCAACCAAATACAAAGTATTTATTCTCTTCCTCTTCTAATGGGCCGACCCTTTTCACCACCTTCTTTGGGCCGGCATCCTCTAACCTGGCCTTATCTTGAATCTTACCCAGATACCCACACAAACATGTCAGTGCTTGATATACAATACAACCAAGAATAAACAATAGGTTTTGAGGAGGAACAAAAATAATATATACTTCTTTGTGCGGATTAGAACCCAAAACCTGCTTGACATGCTTGGCAAAAGTTCTGCAACTGGACCATTAAAGTACATGCGTGTAACAGTCGGGTCTATTCTCGCTACTAGCAACATACGACAAATTAAACACTATGTAGTATTTAAATATAACGCCGATTTATATAAATATTCTCTTCAAAACAATTAAAAAAAATGTAGTGCATGTAAGAATCAAATTTAATGCTTTTTAATGCCTTTTAAGGCCTTAATTTTCACAAAATCCATTTAAAGACTTTTAATGCCCCGC